TAAATCAAAATAATAAAAATAGAATTCCATAAAAATATTTAAAAGTTTTTAAAATTATATTTTAAATTAAACATTTTTTCGTTTTAATAATATATATAAAAGTTAGTTAGTTTACTAAATAATATTTGCCTATCTTTTCCATTTACATATTTAATCACTTTCTATAAACACTATCTACAACAAGAGAAGAAAATATTTAATTAAAATAAATTAGTCTAACGAACATATTTTGAAGCAAACAATTGACCTCATTAAGAACTCGATTGTTTACAACATGAAACCTTGAAATGCAACATAAACTAAATTACTAGATAAATATTTTGTATTCGCCATATCGCAGAATATATATTTGATATTAATGTTAAGCGCACCATATCACATTATACCCATTTATTTTTAATTTCGCTAGCATAAAAATCAAAGAAATTTACATATTAAATGATATAAAGATTTACCAGAGTAATTAATTTACAATTCTGTTAAAGGTAAGTTTTTGTTACATTCTTTTTATAACTTTATACTGTAAAATGTTCTCTGTTTTCTAGATAGATGTTTAATATAAATCTATTGAACATATCAAGCATACTTAATTTTTTAAATAGAAAATACTTTGAATTATATAGTGTAGATCTGTATCTTCAATAAATCATTTCAACAATCATTGTAACAATATTTCATTGTATTCATTTTATTTACGCAATTTTTTCTTAATATCTTTACTAAATAATCTCTTATTTCAAGTATTTACATATTTTTGAATTCTATTTAATTAAATTATCATTTATAAAAGTAAAAATAATAAATAACGTAAAATTAATGTTAAATTATATATTTATTTTAATTAGAATAAGTACTGTATATAAATATTTTAATAATATTTTCATTTTATATTATTTAGGACAACCGGATAAAGACATTGAAATATTAATATATAACTATAACAGATAAGAAAGAAATAAACTTAAAACGCATTAAATATAAACAAATCAAATTTTCTATAAATTACGTTTCAATTATTGAAAAATCAACGATGATTATGAAATTTATACTAATATTTTTCATAATTATAATTATATTTACTAACAACATTATAAGCGAGGATCGTGAAAGGGGTAAGTTATGGGTATATTTTTATAAAAATGTAATAAAAATTACTTATCTTATAATTGTTAAAATTAAAAAATGATCAAAAAGTCACTGTAATGTAAGACTTTTTAATTCTGTTTAATTAAATTTTTGTACAACTTTTCAAAAAGTATATTTATTTTAAAGTACACAAAAATTCAGAGGATTTTCTTGCAGATGACGAAGAGTGCACTGGTGAAAATGAAGAATTTAATGAATGCGGTACTGCCTGTCCAAATACCTGTGATAACTATAAAGTCCGTCGAAGGTGTACTAAACAATGTGTCATTGGATGTGCCTGTAAAAAAGGTTATGTAATATCTAAAGATAAAAAATGCATTCTACCTAAAGACTGTTAAATATTTTGTCAATTTTTGCCAATAAATACGTGTTACTGTATTAGCAAACTTGATTTGATTCAGTACATTGTTTATTATTTTCTGTTCCTTTTTAAATTCTTATTATTATTTCTGTAACAGAAAAAATTACAATAAATAATTGTTTAAAATTTTTGTTAATTCAATAACTAAATATTGTGAAACTGTGACTTTTCGTTGGAACTTAAAAAAAAAAAACGAGTAATTATTTATTGTGACACCGTCACAATACCGGGCTGCATTTTTAATCATATTTTTAATTTATTTATCTTAAAATATACGCTCTCCATTTCGCATTAGTACTCCTTAATTACGTCTCAAATTAGTACTCAAATTAGAGGATTGCTCCTGTACATAATACTTGTCTTTTAACATTAGAGCCGTGCCGGTCATGTATCTAACACCTATCAGGAGAAACTTTTGAATTGAAATAACGTATAATTTCCGGTTTGCATCGGAAGTTTATTTACAGTTAATCAAGGCCTCCTGTCTCTATGATTTCCAAGTCTGGCCTTGTCTTTCATCTATCTAACTCCATGCTCAAGATTAAGGAGAAAGAGATGAACGGACGGACGGACGACAGTGTGAATTTATAGGTCTATAATTTTTTCAAATTGTAGCCCAATTATTGATGAAATTCAATAAATATCGTCTTAAAAATTTAATTTAATTTATATTCGCAGTGCGTTAAAAATCTATTAAAACAATGGGATACACATTATAATAAACCGGCAACGAGTTAACTTTCCCAGCAACATTTAAAATTGTATATGACGCCATCTGTTATGATATTTTATTTTAAAAACTTTTTATATTTTTTAATTATTTTAAAATGGCAAAAAGCTTAATTTTGAGGATAATTATTGGAGGGTTTTATTGGAAAAAAATTGTAAATGCTAATGACGAGTTAAATCGTAAAGTTCGACCTTACTTGAGATATGATACACATACCGCTCTATCTCCCTCGACCTTTAACCACCAAAATTTATTAGCATCAATCTCCCTAATACACGAACCTCACTGTAAAATTTTAGAAATTTTCGACAAAAGCACAGAAGTTATTAAGCTTCAAAGAGAGTGAATAAAATCGTGTTCACCAAACGCACACGCCCACAGACTCTAACATCCATACACAGAAAAACCCAGACGAGTCGGAAATGACTCTTTAGGTCTTTAATAAACACAGTTATTAGAGAGGTTGCGGCCGACGTTTTCAACGCGAAAACGTGTACATCGGACGTTCAGCGCCGCTTTCCTGTGAGTATAGAAGTTTGACAATGATGTTTGGAATGTCGAGCATGATTCCACTGACTGTCACACACCATTGTAGAACTCCTATACTCACAGGAAGGTGGCGCAGAACGTTCGACGTACACGTTTTCGCGCTGAAAACGTCGGCTGCAACCTCTCTATTAAACTGGATTCACTGGTTTCTTAATCTCTATCTCGCTTTCTCTGCATCCATTAGTAATCGCTACCTCATAAATTGTGCTAGTCATTAGCGAGGTTGCGGTCGAAGGTTTCATCTCTAAAACGTGAACGTCGAACGTCAAACGTCGAGCGCCGCTTACAAGATAGCGGCGCTCGACGTTTGACGTTCGACGTTCACGTTTTAGAGATGAAAACTTTGGCCTCAACCTCGCTATAAACTCGAAATGTAAACCGGAATACGTAGCTAAATTAAGTTTTAATAGAAAAAGTTGGTCCTCTGTCTTCTTCCTCTAATGAACATGCTCTTTCCCACAGAAAAAACTAAACCCCGCTTATGAGAATTGAGTTCGTCGATTCTCCACGACGTAATCGATACACATGGTGTCATCCTAACGTAATAAACGGATATCTTAATGTGTCTGTCACAGTAATCATTATCTCTTGGACTGCAGCCTCTTCGATCACCAAAGAGACAATCTCATCGGATGTGTTCTGTACGCAGGCTTCAACTGGCCTTGTTCTCCTGAAACTCTGCTTGAAAACAAGGATATCTACAATAGTCTCAAAAAGTTTCTCACATCAACGGCAGCGCTCTGCCCTCAGCGCAACTCTCACACAACCGACAACGACAAACCATCTACATCGCAATGAACTATGCCACAACAGGTTTCCTCCCGTCTTCAAGTGTGTGCACCAGCGGTACAGGACTCTTTGCTCTGTTCGAGCAGACTTAATCCAGCCAACTNTTTTTTTATGATAAAATAAATAATTAAACATATTTCAGATTAAATACAAGGTCAAGTAGTATTTTTAAATTAATTTCGTAACAATTGTATTTAACTTATAAAAACTTTTTACGGATGTTTTGAGTTCTTACTAATTTTTTGTAATAAACATGTTTTTGCCTTCGCTGAAGAAATCAAAACAGCTCGTTGTATTTATATCAAAGCATTGTATTATAATTTAAAATATCGATTTTTCATTATATGAAACAAAAACATATTTAATCTATATTAACTTTAAAAAATTTCATATTTTTTTTCTATAAAACTTTTTGCATTGTTGAAGAAGTTTACATAACATTAATCTTATATAATTTATTTGTAACATATTGTTTAATAATTTAATAAAATGTACGTATAAATTTTTATTTACGAATTACGAATTACGAATTATTATTTACGAATTATTAGCCTGCTCAACAACACAAAGAGCAAAAACTCCAGTAAACAATGCTTATAACATAAGCAAAAATAAAAATAATATTTACCAAAAAATGAAAAAACAAACATTTTCTTTCTTAACTATTATTATTGCATATTTATTATTATTATTATTGCATATTTGTTGCTAATTGAAATATTATTTACTCCAATATAAGACGTTCACACGCCAACAACAACGACAAAAACTGATGTTTTCATCATTTGTCTTTGTCTGTAAAACGTTCATACTAGTCTTTCTACTAATCTAGTCTTTCGTCTTAGTCGTTCTTCGTTCGACAGTTAGCCAAGAATCAACATTTGTCGTTATCGTAACGTTATTGGCCAAGCAACCAAACAATTTTTTGAACAAGATGGAGGAACCGCTAATCCCTCGTGCCGAAGAAAGTGGAGGCTCTACGAAGCTCAATAGATGTCGACCATCTATAGAGCCTAATTATTAGTAATAGGTTGTTTTCACATTGTATCTTTATTAAGTGGAGATGTAAATTACAAAGAATAACTTTGATGTAAATTACTGAGATGTAAATTACAAAGAATAACTTTATATTTCAAAAAAAATAAATACACAATTATTTTAATAGGCAATAAGAGATGTATGTGTCAGACTATCGAAAAATTTTTACAGACAGGTCGATTCTCGTATGTCGAAAATGATATTAACAATGCCCATTTTCACTTTTCTAAATTCGAATATTCATATTTAATATTTAACAACAAGTTATATTGACAATATAGGTTTATATTATTGTTGATTAGTCTCTTAATTTAATTGCATGGTTTAGAAAATTTTGGGTTAAAAATAAATTGTCAGTTTAACAGAAAAACAAATTAATGCTTCACATTGAAAGAACTTAAATCAATTTATTTGTAAATATATTTACAAAAACAACGAGTTTTCTTAGAAGCAATCTTCCTTCAATACGCAGGAACCATCAGATGCTCTATAATAACCTTTCTCACAGAAGCATCCAATTATGCATTGAAGGGTGCAAACTGTTGGTGGGTTATTGTAATTTGCACAAGTTATTGGGCATGCAGTTCCACATGTTACGAATTCTTCGTGCTCCAGTTGGCATTCTATTTAATTAAATATACATATTTTTAGATTTACTGTATTTCTTATATCCTAACATATTAAAATGCACAAAATGGAATATAAATATTTTTATTATTAAAGAATAGAATGTATTAATATAAATGCATTCAACTAGATAAAATACTAATTTCTCTCTTTTATATATATATATATTGTATTTCTAATTTGGATATTTGTTACAATTTAAGCTAATAAATGAATAAACTACTTACCCTGCTTTGTAAACTGGGCAGACACAGCAACAACGAGTGCGAAAATTACGAAAACAGCTTTCATGCTTATTGTCTTGTATCAATAGCGAAAGTAATCATCACTGTTTCACATTGCTTATAAAGGTTTTGAATGTATTCTTTGCACCTGTTTTTTTTATGATAAAATAAATAATTAAACATATTTCAGATTAAATACAAGGTCAAGTAGTATTTTTAAATTAATTTCGTAACAATTGTATTTAACTTATAAAAACTTTTTACGGATGTTTTGAGTTCTTACTAATTTTTTGTAATAAACATGTTTTTGCCTTCGCTGAAGAAATCAAAACAGCTCGTTGTATTTATATCAAAGCATTGTATTATAATTTAAAATATCGATTTTTCATTATATGAAACAAAAACATATTTAATCTATATTAACTTTAAAAAATTTCATATTTTTTTTCTATAAAACTTTTTGCATTGTTGAAGAAGTTTACATAACATTAATCTTATATAATTTATTTGTAACATATTGTTTAATAATTTAATAAAATGTACGTATAAATTTTTATTTACGAATTACGAATTACGAATTATTATTTACGAATTATTAGCCTGCTCAACAACACAAAGAGCAAAAACTCCAGTAAACAATGCTTATAACATAAGCAAAAATAAAAATAATATTTACCAAAAAATGAAAAAACAAACATTTTCTTTCTTAACAACTGGTTTATTATTGCATATTTGTTGCTAATTGAAATATTATTTAAATAGTTAACTTATCCCTTTAGACCTTTAGATATGAGATATCATAGCAGCAAAAAATGTGTTAATTATTACAATGTTACTATTTTAACTTTTCAATTTGCTTTATCAGTTTTTACCCAATTAAAAATTATTTTTTGTTATCNTTTCTGTATGTGGGGGGAACACGATTTTGTTCACATTTTGTAAAATTTATAAAATTTTACAGTGAGGTTCGTGTATTAAAGAGATTGATGCTATTAAATTTTGCTGGTTAAAAATCGAATTGGTGAGGAGATAAAGGGGCATATATGGAATGGAGTCAGACTTAATGACGATTTTCCTCGTTATTAGCATTTACATTTTTTTTATAAAACCACACCTATCCTCAAAATTAACCTTCTGGCCATTTTATAATAATTAAAAAATATAAAAAGTTTTTAAAATAAAATGTCATAACAGGTGGCGCCACACGCAGTTTTAAATGTTTCCGGGAAAGTTTAGCAACTCGTTGCTGGATTTTTAAATTAGTTGTTAAGCAAAAATAATGGGATAAAAGTCGGAAAAAATTTCCTACAGTCTACCTTTGATAAAAAGTTATCTAGATACGAAACGAAAATAGAAAATTCTGCAGAAGATCCAAGCAAAGCAAAAAAAGTTTTAGGTGTACTGTACTTGCAAGTTGAGAAAATTATTTGACAAAGCCATTTTTATGCAGGTCTATCGTAACTCGTAAGTACTGTACCTTACGACGGACCTGCATAAAGATTGCTTTGTCAAATAATTTTCTCGAGTAGTTTTCTAGAAACTGTATAATAAAAGTTTGTTCAATATATTTATAAATATCGGAGGAAAATGTTATTTGCTACAATGATCATAGTTAAGTAAATGAAGTAAAATGAGCACATTTGAACATTTTTCTGTTATTTGTAAAAATTTATAATTGTACGTACATGATTTCCTAAGTAATTCTCTCCAACTATGTGGGACAGCATAAATTGGCGTGGAATTTCGTTCTAAGTGGTACTGCTCACACGGACTCCTCCCGCATAAAAGAAGACTTCAAAGTGATTTATGGTTTATTTCAATTTGTTTACGTTTGGCTACATACTATATTTGCTTCACATTAAAAAGTGAAAAAGTTACGAAAAATAGCATCATTTAAGTTATTTTTTCTGGCTGTCATAACACGGGAAAGCATTGTAATCGTCTCAAATTTTTCTTACTTTTCCTGCTGTTATAGTATAATTATAGTAAACGTGTTACATTTGATTCTGAGGAATTTTTGAAATTTTGGAGACCCTCTAAGCCCAAAAAAGTAAAAAATAAAAAATAAACTGAGAGCCAAGAAATGTGTGAGTGTTGACCTCTATTTAGTTCAATATCTCATGATAGGTTAAAAATTAAGAAACGAAAGTTAGCACGGTAACTCGATATTATTACATTTTCATGGTTGAAGATCGAGGGGGTGAGGAGATAGTGTGGGTCATGTGTCATATCTTGAATGGGGTCAGATTTAATAAATATTTTACTCATTATCGACATTTACAATGTTTTTAGAAACTCACCTCTACCATTAAAATTAAGCCTTTTGCCTTTTTAATAATAATTAATAATATAAAAATGATTTTTTAATTAATAGAATCTCATAACAGATGAATCCATACACAAGTTTAACTGCGTACTAATGTGCATACCAGTCAGTGTTTCTTAAACACAAGTATTGTTTGCCGGAAAAGTTATACAACTCGTTGCCATATTTTTGCTGTTACTTTACCCTTAATGTGTATTTCGTTAATTTATACACATGTTTAAAATAAAATTTTTATTATTTATGTTTACAGCATACAGTAACAATAAAAAATAAAAGGGCTTATTATATTTAAATATTACAACCAATTATATATTAATTTTCCAAAAATTAATATTAATAACTACTTATGTAATTATTAAAAAATTTATCATAGCATAATAATTAATCTTGGTTTTATCACAATATATCAAATACTATTATTATTATCTGTTTCGATATTTTGTGAACAGGTGAAGGAAATCACATTTACATCTATAAAAGGAATATTAAGAGTTACTGTCGAGTCGATCTTTGTGATTAATTATCAAACATGAAGGTTCTTCTTGTAACTTTTTTAATAATTGGTGTCGTTTATGCTGATTTTAAGTTGCCTCGTAAGTATAGGCTAATATATTACAGTAAAGCTGGTTCAAAAATTAATTTTATAGTTTTCATAGATATAGAAATTTATATACGATATAAATATACTTATATATGTAGTATAAATAAATATAATTTATTTATATTATTATACAAGTATAGTAATATAAATACAATTTGTTTATAATGAATATAATTTGTACATGGAATAACTTGGATTTGGATACAAATTATATTATTTTTTGTTGTCTTTAATGTTTAAATATCATCGTTTATTTTTTTTATTTTCATATGATATTTCACTTCAAAATTGTATGGTTAATTTAAAATATTTCCACTTATTAGTGAAGTATTTTNAATTATATGCTTCATTTAAAACATTTCCACTTATTAGTGAAGTATTTTCTAAATTCAGAACTTTAAAATATGTACGTTTTTAAGAAAGTATTCTAAATCTTCTTATTCTAGAACGAATTATTCTAAATCCTTTGCATAACTATACTGAATATTTCATAACTGAAAATATGAGTAAAATTTTGTAATTTTATGTAGTAACATTTTTATTTTACAGGGTGCGACAGAGAAAATGAACAGCTTTTAGAATGTGGAACTGCATGTCCTATAACATGTGAGAATTACGATAACCCACCAAAATTTTGCACCTTGCAATGCATCTACGGATGCTTTTGTAAAAAAGGCTATTATAGAGCATCAGATGGATCTTGTGTTTCGAAAGAAGATTGCTTTTAAACTTATGTCATATTAAATAAGTTTCAGAAATAAAGACATGATTTCTATGATTTGTAATTTTTTTATCAAAACTACTTAAATGTTTCAAAAATATAGTGTTTTACTATTATCGCAGTTGTTTCTAAGCAAATTGGCTATAGGTAACTTAGTTTAAATTCAGGTTTGAGAAAAGATGACGCTCGCTTTCAAGCCACCTTCTCGTTGCACCTTTCATTGATTTAAACCAGAGTTTCTCAACAGGGGCGATATCGCCCCCATGTGGCGTTTTTTCATGTTGAGGGGGCGATTAGTAACAATTTATATTTTGGGGGTGAAAAACAATTTTCTGGGCGAGATAGTAAAACATTATATTAAGAATAATTAGATATTTTATTCGTTATATCGTACAATAAACAAATAACATTATACTAGTCACTAGTCTATTCAATGCAGTACGAATTTTGCGTTAACCTTGGCCCTGGGCATCGGAATTTTGAAGTGAAGGGGGCGATACTACGTAACGGTTTTAAAGAAGGGGGCGATACTGTAGCTGTACGCTATATTTTGTATATATTAATTTAAGGTTAGTTACGTTTCTTCCTTCAATCCTTTGTTCTATTGTTCCATTTCCTTCTAGAACTTTCCTATCTTAATCCCTGTCCCTTGGATGGGATGACCAGTTCCGGGAAACGGAAGAACAAAGAAGTTAGAATGACCCTTAGGACAAAGAGGAAAAGAGACAGGGGATTCGAGGACAGAACGGCGAGGTGTACGGAAGTGGAGAGAGGACACTCCGCGTCGCTTAAGCAACGACCGGAGATCTTGGAAAGACATTAAGATAAAGGTTCTCGTCCGACGACAGCAACAAAAGATTTTAGAAAAGGAAATATTAAGTAAAGAGGAAGACAACGACGAGTCGAATCCAAAGGAGTTCATCGTGTGACATCCCACCCAACAGTACAAATAGTTCGAACACGCCGACAAAAATCCCGGGTATTTCTGTCCCTATCGTGTGTATTCTTCCTTCATCCTTCTACTTCTATTCTTCTCTTTCACTAGTATTAAGTTAGCATATAAGATTAGTTTTAAAGTCAGGCCCTTTTTGTTATCGCGGTCGGAAATATTGTCATAGCAGTAATTTCATATACCGTCGTGTTGTATTGTGACGTTGGAATCCATAATAAAATATATTTTTTTATACGCAAAAATTGTTTAATTGTATAACTCTTATTTTTGCTCTATCTTTCACAATACTACGTTGAAGGAAGGCGATACTAAGATTCGTTAGAGGTTGAGAAACACTGATTCAAACAATACTGTACTCTTATCATTTGCTCATATAATACGTTTTACTAAACAATGAAAGTGCTGAAAAGTCTAGTTTTGTCAAACTCATTGCATTATGAACAAAAAAGAATTAGATAATTAACACAATTCCAGAA